CAAAGTGGGCGATAAACAAACAAGAGAGAAAAGCCAATCAGCTGATCATTGATCAGTTTCATGATTGAAGTAGAAACAGGAGAGGGAGGGGAGAGAATGAGAGAATTGTTCTCTCTTTCTCTCCCCTCTCTCTCCTTCTGTTTAACTTATTTCAGATATTCATCTTAAGAAACTATTAGTATTAAATATTAGTATTAACTTTGATAAATGTAAATACCAAAGACATGATAGTAATGTGAAGAAAATTTGGTAACTAAGCTTGTTGATTTTGTTTGTTTTGTTTTGTTTTGTTTTGGAACCGCACTCATATGAATATGATGTGTAAACTCATTTATTCTTGTACCTCCATGCGGCAGCGGCCCAATTCTTCACCCCAGTGAAGAGGTGATCGTTTCCTCCTCGTTTTAATTCGAAAAAAATCAAAATTAGCTGTATGTAAGCAGCAATACATAAAAACTACGGGACCCGCGATACAAGCTGGTTTACAGTTATTTAAATACAAAAGAAACATGTCTATGCAGATGCCCAAAGCTTAACAACACGACCGCTATAACAATTTAACTTTTGTACAACCAGATTTTCACATACTTACATTTGAAAGTGTTTTCCTCTCCTGCTTTGACCACCATCGTTATCAGAAACAAATCTCCTCTATGACCCGCAATGAATCCTGGGATATAGTAGGACACGAAGGATACATCGGACCCATCCTTAAAATTCGGGGCAAAGTAGGACGCATTTGTTGCCACATTTTGAGCACTCTTTGAATTCGGACAGCCTTCGTTGCGTCGCCGTGACGTAATTGCCTCCAAATATGGCATTGAAGCATCCTTCCCCTGAATTCGGACACAGCTAGTGAGTGATTCGTTTATGCTACGACTCAGCACGGGAAGGGAGGGGGTGAGTAACTCAAATGTGGTGTTAGCATGTTAGCAGAGCGATGCTACTGTGAACTGAGGAACTGTTGTCTTGATGTGAGCTTCTACTCAGGGTTTTCTCTTTCAGTTCAGAGCAGAAATGTTTCTGTTAAGAAACTGGCTGTTGTTTTTTCCCCCACAATTTTAATTATGAGCTGGATATATTTCTACTAATGAAATTAGTTTGCTAACAACAACAGGGATGAGTCAGTGAGTCAGTTGGGCTTGTGATGCATGATTCACGAGTCAGTAAAGTGATTCTCGAGTATTGAAGGATTCGTTCATGATTCGCACATCACTAGGCTCTGAATACTTTTTAGAATTGTTGAACCACGTATCTGTACTGAGTATAACGAACCTAAGTACCTTCTTGATGATCAGTATCCTCTCGATCCAGTATTCTCTGTGTGAAATTCCCAGGGTGGCATTTTAAATTGTGAAGAATATTTATTCCATTCCCACCTCGTGCTGCCACACAAGGAAGAAACATTAATGACAACATATATGAGATTAATGGGGGAGGGTTGGAAAGTGGTTTGTGATGTGCAGCAGTTATTAGAAGGCAAAGGTTGCTTAACTTACACAAACTATATGAGACAATCCCAATTTCAAAAAACTTAAAACAATGAGTAGAATGTGAATAAAAACTCAATGCAATGATCTGCAAATATCACAGACCTATATTTTGTTATCAAATGTTTAAAGTTGGTATTTTACGATTTCAAGGAAATGTGACTAACATTGATGCAGCAAATGTCTAAAAGGGAAATTGGGATGAGTATCTGTGTCTGAAAGTATACATTTCCATTTGCTTGGGCAGTGTGTTACTGCTATTGCTCTTCTCTTTCAAACTTTTTCCAAACCAATGTTGTCTTGGCCAATACTTTTTTTTATTTTAAAAGTGTTGTTTTCATATCAATAATAACTAATAACTTTCCTGTGCGATTATTCTGTCTGTATAGAAGAGGTCAGTTCCTTGCTCATTAATAAGCAAATTGTCATGACCACTGATCAGTGGTCTTTATTCAAGTATATTAATGAGTGTTATTTGTTTGTTTATTTTGAGTTGTTTGTTTTCCTGTTGCCAGCAACAATTATAGAAGATAATTGTAAAACACTTTATTGTCCTATTGGCATTAAGATGTGATCCTAAAAGCTAACCTTATATGAAGTTTGTATTTAGACCATTTTGTTTATTTAAATAATGGGCAATCAAGAGTCGTGAGTTCGCCTTGTAATCGGAAGGTTGCCGGTTCGAGCCCCGGCTCGGACAGTCTCGGTCGTTGTGTCCTTGGGCGAGACACTTCCCCCGTTGCCTACTGGTGGTGGTCAGAGGGCCCGGTGGCGCCAGTGTCCGGCAG